ATGTGATTCAAAACAATATTCTCTAGATGAAAGTGCCCACTGGGAATTTTTCACCACATATGATCCATGAGAAGTAAGTTTAAAATATATATATGGGCTGGGCATGGTGGCTCACATCTGTAATCCCAGCACTTTGGGAGGCTGAGGCAGCTGGATCACCTGAGGTCAGGAGTTCGAGACCAGCCTGGCCAACATGGTGAAACCCCGTCTCTACTTCAAATCATATTTATATGAATATATTTATATGGACATATGTCCATATATATGATTTGATACACTTTGATTCTCTGCTATAAAATATATCCCCATTTTGTCCATTACCTCTTGTTTCATATGGGAAATTTTTTTTAATTTAATTTTAAAGAACTAAAAATATACCTTGAATAGCAAAGAACAGAATCAACAAAGAAGCAGAACAGAATGGAACCCTGAGTTTTCGCTGAACACAACTCCACACAGTATAAAAGATTACGATTGGCCGGGCATGGTAGCTCACACCCGTAATTCCAGCACTTTGGGTGGCTGAGGCAGGTGGACCACTTGAGGTCAGGAGTTCAAGACCAGCCTGGCCAACATAGTGAAACCTTGTCTCTACTAGAAATATAAAAATTAGCCAGGCACGGTGGCACACGTTTGTGGTCCCAGCTACTCAGGAGGCTGAGGCACGAGAATCACTTGAACCCAGCAGGCGGAAGTTGCAGTGAGCCCAGATAGCACCACTGTACTCCAGCCAGGGCAACAGATCAAAACTCTACCTCAAAAAAAAAAAAAAAAAAAAAACCAAAAAAGTGTAGTTCCATGCCTCCTTTATAATCAAGTTTGGCCATGCTACTGATTGTTAACAAGTAAGCTGAAAGCAAAAACGCTATATGGCACTTTTGGGAAATCTCCTGAAAGGGAAAGTGATCAGTTTTTCCTCCTCCTTTCTCTTTTCCTGTCCGCTGGAATAGAAATGCAATGCTAGAGCTGTGTTGTCCAGTGTCATCCACAGGTGGATATTGAAATTTAACTTATTAAAAGTGAATAAATTTAAAATTCACTTCCTGGGCCTCACTAGCCATATTTCAAGTGCTCAGACACTACCATATTTTTTCCCCATGCCTTAAGGCTCAGAAGCACTACCATCGTGAACTGCACAGGTATCTCCGTCAGGGCTGGACTTTCTTTCTACCTCCAAACTTTTCTAATTCTATCTCATTAAAAGTTTATTTTTTTCCCTGTTATATGCAGTCAAACCTATACCTAAATAGAACAAATAATTAATAGACAAAGGATACAAAATTATATGGAATTTATTTATTAATTTATTATATGTAATTTATTATTACTTCTGAGTAGTTTACAGCACTCTACTAATTTTTCTTTAAAGAACGTATATTATATTGCTTCTCTTAAAAAATACATTTTTTAATATTATGCTAAAATCAACAACCAAGATTTAACTACATCCTCTCTAGTGCTAATTGGTATGATTAGACTATTACTACTTCTGTTAAGTGAGAAGACATTTTTTAAATTTTACAAATTCTCTGTGTCTTAAAACAATGAAAAAATATTTTCCTTTAACTTCTGTGCTTCTTTCAGCAAGGCCAGAACAAAGTGAGCCATCAGCCGTCAACAGACCTAAGACTCAATTCTCTTGAGGGTTGAGAGTAGGTGACATAATCTCTAAGAATTCTGACCATTCAGCTGAGGAGATATTATCTGCCTATGAAGTGTCCAGCCATTCAGAGTTCATTGATGAAGTTCTATTCATAGCGCTTCAGGGAGGAAACCAAACCTGTCCATGAGTTAAGGGGCTCCTATCACAACCTGCATCCTAAAGTCCCAGCCTGCTTTAATAAGAGCAAGACATCAAGAGAAAGCGGGGAGCCTTTACTGTGTTTAGTTCTGGAGCAAATGCTTTAAAATATACATTAACAAGATATAAAAGCATTTAGCATAAAAGATTAGAGGAAAGCTATTTTACAGTCATTTATTTAACAAATACTAAGTGAGTACCTATGATGTGCCAGGTAAACACTCTAACAGAGAATGTTTATGTTCAGAGAAGCAACGCAGCATGCAAGAGAGAGTGTCTATTGAACTGTCTTCGAATGCTTTTGGGGTAGAATCAAGGCCTGTTCTGAGTAGCTCTACAGGGCAGAATGAT